AACTTATGCACCTCTCTATATCCATTTGCATTATGTATTACAAGAGTACTTAATAAAGAAATTGTACTTCTCCTTATATTTTATCGTTAGTTCTAGAGTAAGTGTTTCATTACACGCTACTAGCATGAATATTCTACGTGCTCAAGATCCTATCAATCTGAGCCAAATCCGAAAATGAAAATATCACAAGTGCTCTATCTGCTCAAGATCCTATCGATCTGAAGCAACTCCAAAAGAAGAAAGTATTATCATTGTTCTGTCTACTCAAGATCATATCGATCTGAAGCAAATCCAAAAGAAGAAAGTATTATCACTGTTCTGTATACTCTTGATCTCGTCGATTGATCTGGGTCCAATTGTACACATTTTACCCCTCATTCCTTGTTCATTTTACTTAGTAGATCATCATCCCTTGACCTATTTTATGCTAGGTTGTGCTTGTTTTGTTACATTTCAGGTCCTAGCATGTGTGGGAAGGTCCGGGAGGAGTTTCAGGTCAATTGGAGGTCGAAAAGCGCGAAAAAGGTGAAAAATGTTCAAAGTCACGGTTTACGTATCTCACTGGAGTCATGTCAGTTCACGATCACGCGACCGTGAAGAGCTGTAGTGAAACGACGCGTTTTTGGCCAAGATCACGGTCCAGGCTTTGATGTATGTGACAAATTCCATGTTTGATTGATGATTTTATTTAATTGATGGATGCTTTCATGAATTGCATGAGTTTGGTCACCATTTCATGTATAGACCTTTTGACCTAGGTGGGAGAAAATCCCCTTAGAGCCCATTATTGGCATCTTCGGGTCACTCCTCATCCTATATCGTCCGGGTAATCCCCGAGGGAGTCGATTCCATCAATCTCCTGCGATATAAGGTTACCCTAGGTTGAATAGAGCACACCCCATTCATCGATTCGTCGTTCTGGGTCATTCCCGAGGGAGTCCCTCTCCTAAAGTAGAGTAATTGAGACAATCGAGCTACGAGGATACTCAACATCGAACCAAGGGACGGAACTAGGGGGATTGAAACCCAAGAGAGCTCCAACCTTGTAGATAGCTAGGTTAGTGGTGAGCTAGGTTAGTTAGTTTAGCTTTTTCCTAATCACCACTCTAGGTTAATTATAATCATTCCTTATTTGTCAAATGGTCATCTAATAACTTGATATTTGCACATGTTTTGGCCACTATTCTTGCACTGTTTGAGGGTTGATTTTCGTATTTTAAGCCAATTTCACGCTAGGTTGTGCTTTTATGTCGTATTTCAGGACCTAGAGCGGAAATGTAGGCTTAGAAGCGAGTTTCGGGTCAAAAGCGGAGAGATGGCGAAAAGAGGAGCTGGAAGGAAAAATACCCGGTCAGGTCACGCAAATACCCGACCGGGTATATTCAGACAAGACCGGGTAAATGATCATGGAGAACCCAGTAGGCCCCCCGTCGTAAACCACAAATACCCGACCGGGTATTTCACCTAGAGGTCAGGTATTTCCCCCTGTTATGAGAGCTGCTACGCACCATTTTAAGTAATACCCGGGTAAGCCCAACTCAGGATCTTACCAACGGAAGGCGTGTTTGATCTACCATTCATTTGTGAAAGCTGAAAACAGAGGTTTAGAGAGAGAAAGTGACAAACAAAGACCCTTGAGTGCCCTAGATCAAGTTTTCCCATCATTGGAGCTCGATTCAAGCCTCGAGGAGTGACGATTGATGATGTGGAGCAGATTTCTCCCGTCTACACGATGATTTCTACATCTGGCATAACTTTCCTCTCTCTCTCTCTATGGAATAATCCCCTCTACCACTTGGGTATGTAAGAACCCTAGATTGTATGGTAGGAAGAGTTGTATGAACCCTTTGCCATGAGTGATTGATTGATTTATATCCAATTGAAGTATTTCTTCATAGTTGCTTGAGTACTTACCAAATTCTAGTGATTCCTGCTTTGACCTAGAAAGATAATCTCTGCATAAGTCAATACAGCATCTTGAATTGGAAGTAGTGAATCGACGACTTTAGTTGAGAAGTCGATTCACAGCAATGTACTGGTTTTGAACCCAGTAGAGGAAGTTTAAATCTTATTTCCTCGGTTAATTTACGCGGTGGAGGTTAGTCGCCGCCGGGTATTCAAAACTAGAGGGTCTGGAGCACTTTAGTCGAGACTCCGGACTGTTTGAGAACTTTCCTAAATTTAAAGATTAATCAACTTGACTTGGGTGAATTACAACTTGGCCTAACTGCAATATAGGGAGACTCATACATGAGTGAGCCTTCTTAATCTGAATACAACTGTTTGCTGCTTTCTGTTTATTTTTCTTTTGAACACTTCACTCAACTTTTCTCGTTAGTTAATAGATAATCACGGAGAAGGTAGTACATCTAGGCCCCGGGTTTATAAGTAAAAATGATCCACTACACTGCATTTTCGAACTACTATTACACTTGATCGTAGTTTGGTGTTGTGTTGTAGCGAGTCAAGTTTTTGCCGCTATTGCCGGGTACTTCTAGGTTATTGTAGAAACATGAAGATCTGTTACTTTAGCATTAACTTTTAAGCATTTGTTTTCCTCTACCTGTTGGCCTTCACGGTTTCTGTCTGCAATCTGTGTGCCGATAGTGCATGATCCGTTAGACCACGAGCTTGAACGAACTTGTCGTCAGTTTACGAGAGCACTAAAGGTGCGACTGGTTGTGGAGGGAGCTTTGGCTAAACTAAACATTGCACAGGAAGGAGAAAGGGGTGAACCCAATAATGGAGCTGGGGATGTGGAAGATTAGGCCGAGGAGAGGACCATGAGATACTACTGGACCGCCAGGGCCGTAGACATGAGGTCAAACATCCAAAACCATCAAGTTGTTTCCAACAACTTTGAGGTGAATACCTCTGTTATCACAATGTTGAGGGGTTCATTGGTTTTCCATGGGAAGACAGGCGAGTGTCACCGCACTCACCTGCGGCGATTCCACGAGCTGATTGATGGGATCAAGATCAATGAGGTCCCTCAAGACGCCATCCAGCTATGCTACTTTCCATTTACTCTGGAGGGACAGACTAAGCTATGGGTGAACAACCATCCTCCTTCTAAAACAGCGGACCTGTAGAAGGAAATTACCCATTTTTCCTAAGAGGAGGAAGAGACTATCCGGGACGCTTGGGAGAGATACACAGATCTCTTTCTGAAGTGCCCCAACCATGGTTTCCATGATGCCTTCAAAGTGGGTACCTTATATCAGTCTCTCTTTCCTGAAGATAAGCAGCTACTCGACTCGGTTTGTGGCGGAAACATGCTGCATAGATGCCACCGCAGTTGAACCAGCTCTTTGAATTCATGGCGGAGCAGGGTTATGATTGGGGGTATGCACGAAGATCGCGGCGAGCATTGGGCCATGGTGTGTATGCCATGGATACTGCGTTGTCCGATCTGGTTAGTGTGGTCACTAAGCTGGTCACGTCACTTGATAAAAATGATATGGTTCACGGTACAAAGCAGCAGGCGATGTATTGCTAGTGGTGCGAGAGAAGCAACCACACAATAGAAGACTGTTAGGCAATGAGGGAATCTACTACACCTCAAGAGTAGCTGGACCTCATCGCCTATGCTAGGCGCTTCGACCCCTACAGCAACACTTATAACGATGGGTGCCGCCAGCATCCTAACTTCTCTTGGAGTGGTAACAGTAATCCTAAGCCACTAGTCTCCCAGGGACCAACAGGGTTTCAAAGACCGCCATCCACGCCCGCCAGGGCCAGTTTTAGTAGTCGTAGCAGCCTTTTTATCCTCCTAGACAGGGGCAATCTCTTCCTCAGCAGCAGCCGCATCATTTTCAACAGACAGATGGTTGAGCTACTAGACTTAGTGGGCTTTCTTTATAGTTCCAGCTCACGGAAATTCAACAACATCGAGCAGTTCATGGAAAAGGCTTCAGGAAAGTTTCTATAGTTGGAAGCTGGTAAGAGAAACACCCAGGCTATTCTGCAGGATATACAGACCCAGCTTGGTGGTGTGGCTAAATTTGTGTCATAGAGGACTCCGGGTACTCTACCTGGTCATACCATTCCCAATCCTGCAGATCCGGATGCCAACTTGAGCGTCATTACCACCAGGAGTGGCAAGGAAATGGAAGAGATCCCCGTCCAAGCCAAACAAGGGAAAGAAAGACCTGCTTTAGCACTTCCAGCAATGAGGAAGAAGGAGTATGTTCCTCAACTTCCCTTTCCTACTCAGTTGCAAAAGGTTGAATACCCATGCGAGAAGGAGAGTGTCACCCCTTGGTTCGACGACTTTTCCAAAATGGTTGAATACCCATGCGAGAAGGAGTTTCTTCATCGACCTCTGACACTACTTCTGGGATGATCCTCACCTTTTTCGGATTGGAGCCGATGGAATCAATCGGAGATGTGTCATGGAGAAAGAAGTGTTGGCTATTCTTAGCCAATTCCATAAAGTGCCATCAGGGGGAACCATGGGGGAAACCACACCGCAAAGAAAGTGCTCCAATTAGGATTCTATTGGCCTTCGTTGTTCTGGGATGCTGATTCATTTGTGAAGCGATGCGACAACTGCCAAAGGATAGGTAACATCTCTAACCGTAATGAGATGCCCCAAACGATTTCCATGACTTGCGAGATTTTTGACGTTTGGGGCATCGATTTCATGGGACCTTTCCCTTCATATTTTGGAAATAAGCTCTACCCACCAATGACGCAAGACGAGTATGCGGATTCCTCAAGAAATTGTCTTCACAATTTGGGACCCCAAGGGCCATCATCATTGATCGAGAAACGCACTTCCAAGGGCAATTTGATAAAATCCTCGATCTCTATGGTGTCCCCCACCGAGTTTCATGGCCTACCACCCTCAGAGGAGTGGTCAAGTAGAGTTGTCAAACAGGGAATTGAAAAGGATATTGGAAAAGACGGTGTATCGATCCCGCAAAGATTGGTCCAGAAAACACGATGATGCTCTATGGGCATACCGCATGACCTAAGAGATACTAATAGGCGTCTCGCCTTATCAATTGGTGTACAGAAAGGCGTCCCATTTTCCCGTAGATCTACAACATATGGTATTTTGGGACACCAAACTGCTAAACATGGACCCAACCTTGTGTGAAAATGAAAGAAAGTTGCAGGTGTTGGAGCTCGAGGAGTGGCGTCTTCATGCCTACGAGAACACCAAGCTTTATAAGGAAAAGATGAAGCGCTTTCATGATGCTAGACTCAAAGGGGGCAAGGACTTCCAAACAGGGGAGCAAATGCTCTTGTACAACTCTAAGCTCCACCTATTCCCCAGAAAGCTGAGGTCGAAACGGTCGAGCCCCTTCGTGGTCACCCAAGTTTTACCATACGGGGTGGTGGAGATTTCCCACCTGCAGCAAGGAACATTCAAAGTGAATGTAAACCACCTCAAACGTTACCTCGAAGGCGAGGTAATGCTACAAAACGAGTCTATGCTCCTACAAGACATTTAGTCAGAAGGCTCCATCTAGCTTAAGTGTGGGGGGTGTATACATTGGAATTGGCATGAGTTTTGTGTGTGAATGCTTGATCAAAGTTCTCGGGTTGTGGGAGAATCTCGTGTTTATCGGCATGGACCTTGAATTGATTGCTTGTCATCGAGTGCATCCTATTATGATGATTGAGAATTGCATTAGGTTGGTGCAAATGTTTAGTTCTCATGTGTGTGCGAATGAATGGATGTCTTGATTTGATTACTCTTTCATTGCAATTTCCATGCATCAAAATTTGTGAAATTGGAATAGATGATTGGGTGATTAGGTAGCCAAGTGAGATTTGTGTCGATTATCTTTTCATATGTGATAGATCCCTCTTATCATGGCGAGTAACATTCACGTTGTTGCTAGTGAGTATGATGGAGGCATAGGATTAGTACACGCCCAAATGTTGATTGTCCCAAAGCATCTTATCCCCTAGTCAACCCCTTGTTGGTGGAGTCGAGCGCGAGACTTTGCGGATGATTCCTCCTTCTTCTTTGATTGGAACTCTGTACAACCCTAGTTTCATTTTTGACAAGAACAAGTGAAGACAATAGAATAAACTGAGAGCACGAATCGATAAAAAGAGAAAAGTAGCTTCACTTTCTTGTTTATCAAAACGACACCGGTTCTGGGACTGAGTCTTGAGATTGGTTGGGCTTAGTTTGTTCTCGATCTGTCAAACTTAAGTCAGCCCAACTTGGTTAATTTGCACGCTACGTTTTGATAACTCAGTTTCTTCTCCTCTCTTCCAATAATTCGATCAGGCCCTGTTCTGCACAAAACTCAGACACACACTAAACCAACAACATGAATAAGAATTGGAAATAATCGAAGCACAGTAAACCACAAATGAATGCCTGACACTGTATTTTTACGTGGTATCTGATACTGATGATTTCAGTATCGACTAATCCACGGTCAAAGGTACTCTTCTTGAGTCCTTTGACGTAATACTATGATCTTTAGTTTCTGATTACACCGATACAACTTTGATCCCACAGTGACTCCCTATCACTCTTATCAGAATCACACTGAACCTACAACTCCCAGCCGTTGTTCAAACTCGATCAAATAAACCCCACAAGCTCTCTCCCTGACAGCTCTCTCATTCTCTAATCAAAACCCTAACAATACACCTTTGTTTCTGTTTTGATTCTCATGAAAAGGATAATCTACTCTACCCGGACTCTTTCACTCTTTATACATTCTCCTTCCTAGCCGTTGATGATTGCTACCTTTAGTCCCGATGATTTTGGTTTGATCTTAATTGACAGATCCCTTCCTTAATTGACTCTCTGAGGATCAGCCTTTCCACTCTAATCTTATTCTTCAACTTTCCTTAGTTTGAGCCCGCACAAGCTTGCCAATCTTCTTTCAACATTCTCCCCCTAAACTTGTCAGTGGCTCAACTCAGCAACATGCACACATCTAACAAATGATGGGTGCAGCATGTTCCAATGTACTTATGTTAAGTGAAGACTTATTCATTCGTTCATCATATAGAAAAGCTTGCCTTTTATTCAATTTTCTCAACCGATAGATCAAAACAAAATTCTCGACATTAATTTAACCAACACATCAGACCATCACACAAAGTCAAACACTTCCTAGACCTCAGACACTCCTTATGAACTCCCTTCTAGAAAGGGTAATTAGGAGGTGAGGCATAGCTTGAGACCCGATCGTCCTCATCACCAGAATTCGAATCAGGACTAATCGGATCACTGGTTTGATTAGATTCATAAATAAACTTTGGCAACATCAGATCCTTTTCAATCATCAACCTCCTTTTTGGACCGCTCCTGGCACCGACCTCTTGCTTGTATGTTGCAGCTGCTGCATTGTCCAAAGCTGAGGAAGCCAGTTGTTGCTGACTGTTCACTCCCCCTGAGCCAGTGACAGGCTTACGGGGACCAACCAAAGCATCAACGCGTTCTAGAACATGTTGGGGACGCAAGTCAATGCCCAGACGATACAAGAGACGGGTAATTTGTGGATCAAATGGCAACGGACCACCATAATATTCAATCCCAAATTTCATCATATGCTGGAACATAAGAGATGCGTAGCTAATGCGATGACCATCTCGCGCATTAAAAAGAACCCAGAGATCAGGAGAGTGAATGAGATCAATATTGGAGGTCACGAGGCAGGAACCACAGAGTGAGAAACAAAAACAAGAATTTGAGATCGTCTGGTAATCGTCCAGCAACAAGTTGGGATGGAAACCAGCGCCCTATATCACGCGCCAGAGATGCAAGAGCCTGATCGAACCGGAATCCAAAATGTTGGAATTCACTGTCCATTCCAGCCCTGATGCCAGCATGAGGGATTTCCAACACAGATGCTAGCAACTCAAGCGTCACTTTGATTTCATAGTCATAGACTAGAGTGGTAAAGAAGGAAGGATCACTTCCTGGACCTCTTCGAAGATTGACGTAGAAGAGACGTACAGCCTCAGGACATTGACTGAACTGCAGATCAGACACCAAAGATTCCCACCCTAGCTTATGAAGATAAGCAGGAATATTCATGTCATATTTGGAAAAGGAAGTAGGCTAAATGGAGAAGGATGGATTAAGGGGACGGTCTCAAAAACGACGAAGATACCTAGAGTAAGTAGCAGCATTCCGAAAGCTTTGATTCTTGAACAGAACAGACGACTGCAACTGAGCATTGCTAAATGCCATTTTGAAAGGAAGTGTTTGGTTTCTTTCTCTGCTCAAGACTGGTTGGGAAGCAGTAAGGAGGAATGAAGAAAACGAAGGGGGGTGATGAGGGTTATATACACTGAACTGCATTTAAACCAAGGAAACTCTTCGGATGGAAAGGAAAGAATCGGTGAGGGAAAGAAGAGATCCGTGAAAACAAGGCAAGAAAATATGTTATATGCAATCAAATATCGTTAATTTCTTCTTGAGTAAACATGCCAAGTTCATTTCGAATTGGTAAGAGTTTTTCAGCACCTAAGGGTTTTGTAAAAATATCGGCCCATTGCATTTCTGTATTAATGAATTCTAAGTGAATTTTACCATCTTGAACGAGATCACGAATAAAGTGATATCGTACCTCAATATGTTTAGTTCGCAAGTGTTGAATAGGGTTTTTAGTCAAGTTTATTGCAGTCGTGTTATCACATAATATGGGAAGAGATCCTATGCTAAGACCATAGTCCTGAAGCTGGTACTTCAACCATAATAGTTGAGTGCAACCTAACCCTGCTGCAATATACTCTGCCTCAGTAGTTGATAACACAATAGAGCTCTGCTTCTTACTGGCCTGGTTATAAGTGACGTGCCAAGGAAATGACACGTCCCAGATGTACTTTTCCTATCAGCCACACATCCAGCATAATCAGAATCGCTATATCCTAGCAATTCAAGACTTGACTCACACGAGTACCACAACCCAAGTGAACCAGTACCAGAAAGATAACGAAAAATACGTTTTACTGTAGTTAGATGACTAACTTTAGGGTTACTATGAAATCTGGCACAAACACACACACTATACATATTGTCAGGTCTGCTGGCAGTTAAATAAATAAGAGAACCAATCATTCCATGATATAACTTATCACTAACTGGTTCTCCTTATTCATCCAAGGAAATTTTTACTATGGAACCCATTGGTGTAACTGCATACTTCAAATTCTTAAGATCAAACCGTTCGAGCATGTTGTTTAAGTATTTAGTTTGACTTATAAAAGTCCCTTTGCTAGTCTGCTGAACTTGCAAACCCAGGAAATAAGTTAGTTCCCCCATTAAGCTCATCTCAAACGCCCTTTTCATAGCTGACTCAAACTGTTTACACATTTCTTGACTAGTTGAACCAAAGATTATATCATCTACATACACTTGAACCAACATAGTATGACCATTTAGGCTTTTAATAAATAAGGTTTTATCCACAGAGCCTCTATGAAAGCCATCCAGCATTAAGAAGTTACTGAGTTTATCATACCAAGCCCTATGAGCTTGTTTTAATCCATATAAAGCTTTGTTGAGTTTATACACATGATTAGGAAACTTGTGATTCTCAAACCCAGGGGGTTGAGCAACGTAGACTTCTTCTTTTAAACATCCATCTGATAAAGTTTAAAATTTTGAGATGCAGCAAATGCACACAACAGCCTGATGGCTTCTAGTCTAGCTACATGAGCAAATGATTCATCGAAATCTATTCCTTCCTCCTGATCATACCCCTGTGCTACTAGCCTAGATTTGTTTTTAGTTATATCACCAATTTCATCAGTTTTATTCTTATAAACCCACTTAGTTCCAATTATAGGTTTATCCTCAGGTTTTGGAAACAATTCCCAGACATTCAATCTTTCAAAATACCCGATTTCATCTTGCATAGAGGTTGTCCAGAATTCATCATTCAGAGCCTCTTTAATATTTTTAGGAACAAGTAGTGACACAAAGGCAGTTTGCACAGATAACATTTTAGAACGAGTGAACATACCTTCCCTCAGGTCACCAATGACTTGAGATGGTGGATGCCTTTTTTGAATGTGCAAAGAAGCTTCTATGACTTTGTTCCCATCAGTCTCAGCTGTGTGTTCTTTATCTGTCGGTTCTTGTGAGCTTTTATTTCTCATTTCCTGTTCAGCTCGATCTGCTTGACTCGATTTATATGATCTTCCTAACCCAAGATCATCATCTTCATCAATTTGATCTGCACACTTACTAGGAGAATTATCAAATACCACATTTATGGACTCCTCAACCTTGAGGGTCCGTTTATTATACACTCTGAAAGCTCTGCTATGAACAGAGTACCCTAAGAAAATTGCCTCATCTTACTTGGATTCAAATTTCCCTAGGTTATCTTTGGTATTTAGAACAAAACACCTGCACCCGAAAAGGATGAAAATACCCCACATTTGGTTTTATGTTTTTCCAAAATTCATATGGTGTTTTTTTAGCTTAGACCTGAGTAGACCTCTATTGATAATATAGCAAGCTGTGTTTATGGCTTCTGCCTAGAAATGTTTAGGTAATCCATAGTCGTTTAACATTGTCCTAGCTATATCTATTAGAGTGCGATTTTTCTTTTCTACCACTCCATTTTGCTGTGGAGTTCTAGGGGCAGAGAAATTATGAAATATTCCTGTCTCTTCACAGAACTTATCAAAACTATCGGAAATAAACTCTCCCCCGGGATCACTTCTTATACTCACAGTTCTGGTTCCCTTTTCATTTTCTAGTTGTTTAATCATATTTTTAAATTGCACAAAGGTCTCTCCTTTATTTGAGAGAAAAAGAACCCATGTAAACCTAGAATAATCATCTACAACTACACAAGCATAGTATTTTCCACCAAGACTCATTACATTACTTGGACCAAAAAGATCCAGGTGCAACAATTCTAATGGTTTAGAAGTGGAAATGACAGGTTTACTTTTAAAAGTGGATCTGACCTGCTTATCTCTTGTGCAGGCTTCACAAAAAAATTCCTTTTTACTACTGATTTTTGGTATTTCAGTTACACTATCCAAACTAATCAGTTAAGCTAAAGATCCTACACTAATGTGACCTAACTTCCTGGGGTCGTTTGGATTAGTGAATGTGATGAGGGATTTATGAGTGATTTTAAAACAATCTCTCGTTATGCAGGATTTTAAAACAATTCTGCGTTTGGAAAGGTGAGAGATTGTGGGCATGAGGAAATTCTAAATCTCTCATATGAGAGTTTTTAAAATAGCTGATGGGGATCAGCTATTTCACAATCACTCATTTTTTCTCATTCTTTTCCAAACTCTGCCCCTCCTTTTGTTCTTCCTTAGGGATTAGGGATGGGTATAATTGTAACTTTAATTTTTAATTAAAATCCTTCATCTATTCCCAAACATGTTATTTGGATCAAATCCCACGTTTAAAATACCTGGGTTTTTAATTGAGAGATTTTAATCCAAATCCCTCATTTACACATTCCCTAATCCAAACGACCCCCCTATGTCATTCTAACTGCTCATTCTTGTCCACAGTTATCAAACACATCTCATTGAAATCATTCTTGTTATTTAGGTTTATGCAAAATAATTTTCCTTTTCTTCTGCCTGTAAACAATACTTTTCTGCTCTCAATATTCTCAACATAGCATTTACTAGGTTCGAAAATCACCCTATTTATTTCTCCACACATTTGGCTAATTGAAAATAGATTATGCTTAAGACCATCGACCCACATCACATTAGTTATAATTGGTCATGTTCCTATTTCTCCCTTTCCTAGAAAATCAGTGCAATAGTTATCTCCAAAGTAAACCTTACATTTCTTACCCTTAATCAGTTTAGAGAAAAGTTTTTCATTTCCAGTCATCTGATGTAAGTATCCACTGTCCAGAATCCATTCGTTGTCTTCCATGCTCACTTGGAAGCAGACCTGGACACAAAGGTATTTTATTTGTTTTTAGGTATCCATACCAATTTGGATACTCTACTTTTCATTTTGATATCAGTACAATTATAACTCATATGTCCCTTTTTATGACATGAGAAACACACTGTTTCCTTTAAACTGGTTTCCTTAGCTATTCGTTTCTGACAGTGTGAAATATAATGTCCTAAACCATGACAATAAACACATTCTGGAATTGACTTGTTATGACTCATTTTTGTTACTAATGGCCTTTTATGTTTTGTACACAGATGGTTACCAGCTTTCCTACTTTTAGAGACTTCTGTCTCTAGTTTAGCATTTCTTCTTAAAGCTTCTTCCAATCTTCTATCTATTTCTAGTTTTTCCCTTTTCAGTTCATTGTAGTTCTCAAATAGTTCCTCAAATTCTGATTTCATTCTAATATGTTTTGATCTAACAAGTGCAAATTCTGACTGAATATCCCTTATGGTTTCTATTATTTGACCATCTTCATCACATGAATCACAGTAGTTGTTAGATCTACTTACCTGTGATGCTTCCACATCATCTTCACTTTCATCGATGGCCATGTAGCCTTCATATTTGGGCTCGACCTCTTCCTCTTCATACTGCAGCTCCAGGTAGCTATGTAAGCTTTCTCCCGCTTTATTTGTGGACACTCTGCTTTGATGTGTCCACTCCTTCCACACTTGAAGCATCCAACTAACGACCCAACCTTATTGTCGTTGCTGATGAACTCTCGTCTAGCTCTTGGATTTACCCTAAATGTTTTCACTTGCTCCTTCTCTGAATCACCTTCCCTTGTTCGATTAGGGAATCCTCATTTTCTCTTTTCTTTTCGTAATCTAAGTAGCTTGGCCACATGATTGCTTAACATGGCCAGCTCTTCATCTTCCATGTCTTCCAGACAGTCAAGTTCTTCCTGTGATGCAGACACTTTGAATGCAATACTCTTCTTCTCTTTTCGAATCTCCTCTCCTCCTTATCTTCTGAGTTTTTCTTCGTGTGTTATTAATGAACCCATGAGTTCATCTAAGCTCAAAGTTGTTAGATCCTTCGATTATTCAATTGCAGTAACCTAAGGAGTCCATCATTTTGGGAGAGCCCAAAGCACTTTCCTCACTAGATCTCCACTGCCATACTCTACA